TGGCAGCGCCACAAGCGTTGTTGTGCTGGGCACCCCGGCCGCCCGTGATGCGATACCCATTACACAACGGTGCGTCCCCCAGCGCACATCATCACCACAGCTTTGTTCGTCTGATGTCCTCTCCCCTCAGCCACGGTATCGGGTCTATTCTGTGCGAGGGTAAAATGCCTGACACCCGAATCGCAACCCCGCGCCGACGGCTGCTGCATCACTGGACCGCCAACCGGACCCGAATTTGCCCTTGACACTGCTGGGTCGGTACCATCTCTGGCAACCATTTCGTTGAGGCGCTCTTTGTCTCGCAATGTGAGCCCCCCCCCCTCCTCAGCTCAGCTGCCTGTCGACTATCAACCATTGCAGCTCTCAAAAGGATCAGTCCCCTTGCTTGCGTGGCTCAGAGAGGCCGGCTGTCTCGATGCGTCACCATCTTCTTCTAGACGCGAGCGCAAGGCCATGCTTCCAAACTGTTCGCCTACCGCAAATGAATGTGAACCCCTGGCCCGCCCGGCGCGCGTGTGCACCGTACCTGAACAGCCGCCTCCAGGTTGCTCCGTCCCCTCGTAAGATTGATGCCGTCATTCAACGCACTTTCAGCATAACCGCCCAATAGTCTGGCCTCTCGATGGCATGTTTTGTACGCTGGCATGCCTGCACGCTTGGCACGTTCTTTCGCCTCGTTTGTTCTCTCACCTGCCTTCCCCGTCTTATCCTTCCCGTCTTCAAGGATGCCCTGGCTCGGCTGCGAGCCCCCGGCGGCCCCATGTCGCAGCATCTGACTCCCTGGTCTCTATCACACTCTGTCGCAGAAACCACATGGGAGAACGTGCTCTGCGGCCAAGACACACGCACATGAGCAACCAGCAAGTTGTCTGTCAGCTCGCTTGCCCGATGCCGAGGATGGTGCTCGCCCACGATGGCTTGGGTTCGTCGCGGGAAAGAAGCGTTATTTTCTCACATCGCCCCGACCGGGCGCGCACCTCCTCAGATCGTAGATGGCCGCCGCCTGGAACGACGAACACCTTAACGCACGACTGGGCTTGTGGACTTGAGCCAAAGGATTCTGCCCCTCCGGGATCTAGTCACACTATTGGTCCGGTCGCTCTGGATCGGGCATGACATTGAGCAGAGTTGTCGAAAGTCCGCTAGAGCTTGATTAGCCCTCCTTCTGAACTCACCCCCGCCGAGGGCCGTCCCCATAGCGAAGCGGCCACCAGGGGGGGGTGTCGGCAACACTATGATCTATTGCACGTGTGCGCGCCTAGAAGGCGGTACTTCGCTCCCGTCGTGTGCGGAGGAGCGCACTTGCAGCACTTTATCGGTGCCTCTTCCCGGCTGCCATCCCCCCCCCCCCTTCTCCCTCTACCCACCCCCAAGTCTAATGAAGCCAAGCCCAATCCAGGCTGTTGGTCCCTTTAGTCTCCATCTGGCGACTCGGGGTATCTTTACGTTACTCGTTTCCCTGTGAGGCCTGCCAAGGGGTTCGCTTGGTACATGTATACATAATGGAGACTGGTGGCTGTACCATATGCCGTTTCGCGCTGCCTGTTCCTTCTGGTCTTTTGAAAAAGCCACCGGACCCCCTCGCACACTTGACTTGGACCACAGCCTCTTCTTTCTTGACCTCGACTTCCTCCCTCTTCAGATCCAAGGAAAGACTTGCGAGTTTCTGCCCTCCTTCCTCTTCTTCGGAGCGCACTCACAAGAGCAGCCATCGTCTCGCTCCCATCGTACACATCAACCTTTGGCTGGAGGCACTCTTATTGCACGACCTCTTACAGAATCACCCGCCGCCACTTCCTAGCCAGTCTTCACCAGCGTCTCACACAACACTGCTCTTGTACATCAACAGGTACAGGCATTCTTGACTCTGAGCTCTGCATCAACGCGGGTCCCATCTGCCACCGTCGTCGCCTGCTTCCCGAGTGGTCCCGAGATCTCCTCTCGACTCAGAAGAACCCAGACTCTGTCCAAGGGATGCCCCGCCGCTTTTGACCACACATACTCTCAACTTATTACTCTCTCAATGGGGATATCAGCTTTGGAACTTCACCCTCACCTGGCCGCCCCGGACACGCCTCCTGAACTGGTGAGCCCGTCCTCGTCCTCCTACTCCTCAAGACCGTCGCCGCCGGCAGACCTTCAGTCGTGGGCCTCTACCACCACCGCTCCCGTCTCTCCGCCAATGTCCAACTATGAGCGGAGTCCGGCCGCCAACGGCTCGTCACACGTCAAGGCTGTAGATGACCACCATCGCAGTCGTCCGGAGCCTCTTCAGGCCCCCCTTCGGCAACAACTGCCTTCTCTGAGCAGCCTGTTCGGACCTCCATCATCCATTCGCCCGTTGCATTCGCCCATTTCTGACAGGCCGTCGCACTACCCGGCCACCTCGCCCCTGGATCGTCCTCGTGTGTCTTCGGCTCATGGCGACAGGCCATATCAGACATCTTACTTCCCCTCCGCCGGCTCTCCCTCCATCTCACAACCTCGCACCACATACGACGCTAGATATGACCAAGAACGGGCGTCATTGCACGCACTGACCCGGTCGCTATCGGGCTCTGACTCTTCCAGGTCCAAGGAGACCGATCATCGAACGCATGATGCGCGAACTGACAGCGAACTCGGCGGCAGGTGGTCGATTCATCAAGAGGCTGCGAGGCACGAGTATTCCTTGGGTAGCAGGGAAAGCCACGGCGCGCTGAGATCGCCGCACGACCGCGCGCCGTTCCAGTTCACCGGGGTCAAGGACTACGGATCGAGTCTTCGCGACCAGCGCCCGGCTCCGGTGCCGGCGCTGGCTCAACCGACTGTGGCCGCCAGCACTGTCACATCCGAGGGGCTTCCGTCCAAGGATGGTCTGGGACCCAAGATCTGGACCGGCACGCATTTCCTCCCACGTTTTGTGCGCGCTGCTGAGGTGCCAGGCGAAGGACCGTGCTACTTCTACGACGATGGAAGCCACTGCAAGACGGTGATTGACGGCGAGGCCGTCAACCCGCACTGGGGTGTGACCAAGGCTGGAAAGCCTAGGAAGAGGTTGGCAATCGCTTGCATCACATGTCGGGAGAAGAAGATCAAATGCGACCCCGACTTTCCTCGGTGCGTTCAGTGCGAGAAGTTTGGACGTGTGTGCAAGTTCAAGAATGCGTAAGTTGCTCCCCCGTCGCGCATTTGTCGGTCGAACCATGGCTGACCTGGAGTTTTCCTGTACAGACCAAGGGGAGGGCACAACACATCACCGTCAACACCACCAGCTGAGCCGGAAGACTTGCGCCGCCACCCGCATAGCGCAAGTGAGCTCGTTCGGCCCGGAAGCAACTCGAGCGCCTCGGTGTCGCCGCGCACGACGATTCGTCAGGCCAGTCCCGAGCCTCCCATGTCGCACAAGCGCATGCGCCTGGGCTTTGACAGCTACTCTTCCACGGCCGCGGATGCACCATCCATGGCTCACACTCCGGACACTGGCAAGTCGAACGCATCATGGCAGCACCGGCCGGTTATTGAGCTGCCTCGGATTCATGAAGAGTTGCTCAACAGGACGTGGCAGCCTGAACCGTACGCATCCGAACATCGAATTCGCCACTAGGAGAGGGGCAGGGTTCCTTCCGGCCCTAGACCTGCCTACCTCCGCATAGCGTGTACAGAAGGGTGCGGTGTGTGTGTCACCGAGTGACAGGGGCTGAGGAAAAGCGACAGAGATGGGGGAGAGGTTGGAGGGATGACATTGTGATTTTACTTTGCATAGCATGGCGCTTGGGGGGGTCTTGATTTTCAACACATCTGATGGCCTTTTTCTGTTTTCATACTTTCATAATGTTTACACAGACTACAGCATTTGGAGGACAGACAATGATTGTTGGTGAAGGCGACGGGGGCGAGATGTGTCAATATACGAGCAGCACGAAGCAGCAGCATCGTTCGCGGGCAGCAGCATTATTTTTATTCCTTCTCATCCACGTGCGAAGACGACACAAAACTTTATACATACACACACACACACACACATATACACCCTTGTACATGAGGACACGGTATATAGTTCCAGAAGCAAAGAAGCACATGCCAGCCGGTTACCGCCGGCCGACGTGATGCTATAAACAACAACACGAAGAAGACGAAGAAGGTTCGCTTGCCTGTTCACTACCACTGTTTTGGCAGGAGATAAAAAAGAAGGATTTGAGCCCCTTGTCTCGATCGAGCAATGTGTGCATCTGTCGGTTCGGCGCAGGGTAACCTTGCAGGGGGTAAGGGGGAGGGGGGGGCACAGGGGAAGGGGGTGTTCAAGCCTTCAGGGAAGCAGAACCGGGGATGGCCCGGTGCACATGAACCGCAATGGGTAAGACCGAGCGAGAGTTGGACAGTGCTCTCAGGTCGTAACGATGGACCGGCCGGGCTCGAGGAAGAAGGGGGGGGCATGCAGCTCGGTAAACCCATCTGACGGCGGGGAACAAGGGGAGGAATCGAAGGCGCGCCGAGAGAAGGGCCAGGGGGGAGGGGTTTAGATGGAGATGGAGATGGGCCACAGTCAAGGAGAGATTGAGAGAGAGAGAGAGAGAGAGAGAGAGAGAGAGAGAGAGAGATAAAAAAAAAATGGATTTCGCCAAGGGCAGATCGAAAGGCGAAGGATTCCTGTTGGCGCGGTTCGTCGTATTGGTATGCCGCGGCGAAAGAGGGCATAAGAATCGAGCTCTCGGGTGTGGTGTGGAGGGCTCGGCAGGTGGACATGTGCCTACCCTTGGTACATACAGGCCTGTACCGGTTTGGTTCGAGGTGACTGTAGGTGCCTCCGAGTGGATTGGCAGGCGGGAAGACAACCGGGGCCGCCTAGGAGATTAATGGGCTTGCAGATACGCAGCGTGTGTGTGTGTGTCGGGTCAGGTCAGGTAGGCGGACGGCATGTTCAGGTGCAGAGGAGTATGGCCGTGTCTGTGTGTGTGTGTGTGTGCTTTCAGCCTGACTGGTAAATCAGCTTTGATGAAAATTGGATGGATGCAACACACATGGTCAGCCAGATCTTGGGTCCCGAGGCGGAGTTCCGGGAGACGGCAAACCGGCCCGTGTGCGACGTGAGGGCTCGAGGCTGAGGTAAGTTTGCAGGCTGCAGGGGGGGGGGGGGGGACGGCTGATGAAGTAAGCAGAGCCAGGGTGCTGCAACTCCGACTTCGGATCCGACGGTGGGTGGGTCGTGCTTACCCGGCGGGGGGGAGATCAGGACTCCGGGGGAGGAAGGGGCGATACAGGGCAGTCTGTGGGCCGCTGGGGCTACAGCAGCTACAGCAGCTACAGCAGCTACAGCAGCTACAGCAGCTGTGGACTGTCTTGTGCCACAGTGACACAAGCCCGGTGCCTGTGCCACAGGGCCAGTGCCACACCCTGACGCGTCTGGCTCGTCTCGTCTGCACCTTTCGGCACTTCAGTCGTCGTCACCCAGTATCGGCATCTCATCCCGACTTCCCTGAGAGCACCAACATGACTCTGCCTCTCTCTCGCTTCCTCACTTCTCGTCATTATCCGTTCAGATTAAATCATGTTCTGCCGTCCAGTGGCAGCCGCAGCACGGCGCCTCGCGCCTGAGAGACGCGCCGTCTGCGTCTCTGCCGCGCGCCAGCATGTCCTCCATGCATCATCTGCAGCATCAGCAGCCTCGTCATCATCGTCTTCGTCGTCGTCTTCTTCTTCTTCTTCTCCTTCAGCATCCTCCACCTCTCGGCCAAAAGCCAGGCCGTCGAGGCCAGCGGCGTCAGCGCCAGACCCCCCCTTCGCCACGGTACCGACGTGCCCGGCGCCGACATGTAGCTGCGCACCCACGCCGCCGGGTCTCGACATTGACCACACGAGCCCCCTCAACGGCGTCATCTCGGGGTACGCGGAGCAAGTGCTCGTGTGCACGGGGCGCGACGACTGGGCGTCGCGTATCGAGGAGGAGGATAGCGGCGACAACCTCGCCGCCGACCTGAAGGAGCTCTTTGGCAGGGGCGGGGCCTACAGCGATGTGAGTTGTTCTTTTTACTTTTCCTCTTTTTTCTCTCTTTTTTCTCGCTAGTCTCTTTTTTGCTCTTTGTCTTATCTTTGTCTTCTGAGGGCATGCCGGCAGAGACCCTGTCTTGGTGCGGTTGCGATCCGCTTGCCATGTGGAAATCTTCCTCTGTCTTTTACAGTATGCAACTTCCTTCGTCTTGTCAAGTATGAAACATGCAGTGTACCCGAGACTGACGGTAAATCGCGCGCGCGCCTTGGCCCTCCAACAGCCCTTTCACAACGTCTCGGTGCTCAACGCGTCGTTTCCGTCGTCAACGCCCCGCCGCAGGGCCGAGCTCCAGACCACGTCGGCCTACCTGCTCCCCAGCTTCAAGTATGTGCCCTTCCTGCCGCGCGTGTCCTTTGAGAGCGTCCAGGCGCTGGCCAAGGGCTACCTCCTGCCCGAGGCCCTGCATCCCGTGCACGACGGCCTGTCGCCGGTGCACCGCGACCGCTTGCTGCGGAAGGAGGCCTACCGCGAGATGCTGTACGGCGTGCAGGACGTGCAGGACGTCCTCGTGCTCATCTGCGGCCATGGCGGGCGGGATGCGCGGTGTGGTATCACAGGGCCCGTGCTGCGGAGCGAATTCGAGACGCAGCTCGACGCGGCCGACGTGCATGTCCTGAAGGGGGAGGTCGAGGGCGACGTCGAGGAGAACCAGGGGCGGAGGCTCGAGGAGGGGGCCACTGCGCGCGACGGCGGCGGCGAGGGGGCGCCACAGAGGGGTGCGGCAGCGGCGCGAGTCGGCCTCATTAGCCATATTGGCGGCCACAAATTTGCCGGCAACGTCATCGTCTACGTGCCGCCGGGTATGAAGGCGCAGGACGGGACCGAGCATGGCCTTGCGGGCAAGGGCATCTGGTACGGTCGCGTGGAGCCGCGGCACGTCGAGGGCATCGTCAAGGAGACCATCCTGGGGGGGCGTGTCATTGCTGACATGTTCCGCGGCGGCATCGATCAGCAGAGGAAGATCCTCAGGATGTAGACGGCAGGCTGTCCGGGCGGACCAGGTGTGTGTAAAGATGGAAGTCCGGCACTCTTCCGGTTGTACTTCTAAAATGCATCGCGGTCACTCGCGCGCCGAGTCGGTGGTGTGTCTGAGCATCATTGGGATGAAGTGCATGCGTGTGGTTGGTCTTGGCTCTTGCTGACGCCAAACCGGTTGTGTACCGTGAAGATTCGGGCTCGAGAGGTCAGATTTCTTTTGCCTTTTTTTCACATGTCTGACCACCGGTCCAAGAATCGATGCTGCCCTGTCTTAGTGTGATTCTCATGCAAACGCGGCCAGTCCATGGATCTCTTCAGCGGAGGTCGGGGTCAGACCTTGTTCACGACCTGTCCCATGCTGCAATAAAGTTCGTCATCCAAGTGAGTCACGAGGAACTGGCAAACTGGTGACCGGGACTTTGCGACACGACATACCCTCCATCATGATGCCTGTTTCTTACACAGATCATAACTTGTTTGATACCATTGATCCGATGCTTTGCTCCCGGTACGCTATCCTCGTTGCAGGAGCCGCGCATATTTGCTATTGACTTGCAATGGGAAAAAGGCCGGCCTTGAGCGCAGGAGTCGAGAGTCTACCCGGGCAAATTCAACTAAATAGCCTAATAAAGCCATAATACTGACAGGACACCATCTAGCGAGACTGACTGAATACGAGTTCTGCTCTTTATCGTCAGGTCCATCCCCGACCCGCGACAAAGCGGAATCTGGTCACCTGGTGCCCAGGTAGAGGGTCAAGAGAGGTGTCCCACTGCATCGATCAAACAGCGAGGCTAGATCCTCTGAGCTCAGCGATGGCGTTCAAGATATTGTGCCGAAAGGGGAGCTCAGGGGCATCACGCTCTCACGTGATCACGTGTCATGTGGAGACTGCCGATGAGACGGACACTCAGATCTCGGAACACGACTCTCATCAATGCCAAGCTCTGAAGTTTTGGCCATCTCAAGTTCTTCACGACCCTTGCCATACTTGGCGAGATCAAAATCGATAAACATGCTTCCAGATCGGAGCCTTTCCATTCGGGGAGTCTTGACACTCACGAGAACATTGACGCAGACTTCTCCCTCATCATCATCAACGATAAGACTCTGCAGCACGAGACTCAGACCAAGGCCAACATCTCCTCGCCAAGTGGGACGCTTCTCAACCACTCCTCGAACCCATGCGACCACGTCCACCTCGATCGCCTCACAAACACCAAGCGCAACTCCTCCGCCGCGCCGCTCGGCCACATCCAAGCTACTGGCTTTCACCCTCATCACCGCCTCAGCCATCTACTATCTCACCACTGACGACGCAGCACCGTCGTCAGCTCACATATTCAACGACCACCGCTTCACCCCCTTCACTCTGGTAGACCGCGAACCTGTATCAGCGACCTCTTTCGTCCTCACCCTGCACCCCGCCACCACCACCCTCCCGCCATCTGAGGTAGCCGCCCAGCTCGCTGCCCCCTGGACAGCAAACGACCTCTGGTCCCTCGAAGTCAAGCAGCCCCAGTTGCAGATCGCCCGCGAGTACACGCCGCTCCCCAATGCCCCCCCGGGTGCCCTGCGCTTCCTCGTGCGCGCCATCAACGGCGGCGAAGTCTCGACTTATCTGAGCCGCCTGCCCCTCGGCGCCACCATCGACCTCCGCGGACCCCACGGCAGCTTCGATCTCCAAGCCCGCCTCCGTCCCGAGGGCCGCCTCGTCTTTCTCGCAGGCGGCACCGGCATCGCCTCCGCCCTGCAAGCCGCACATTCCGTCCTCGACCGCACCGACAGCCGTCACCCGGCCGTGACCATCCTATGGGCCGTCCGCGCCCGTGACGAGATCCAGGCCACCCAGGCCGCAGCAGCAGCAGCAGCAGCAGGACCAGCCTCACCGCGCCGCCCCTGGTGGAACCCCTTCCGCGCCGCGGCCCCCGAGCCCGAGCTCCTGACCCCAGACATCGCCGCCCCAACCCAGACGACCCGCGACCTCCTGGCCCTGCAGTCCCGCCACCCTTCCCTCCACGTCCACTTCTTCGTCGACGGCGACACGCCGCCCCTCGCCGCCGCCGCCCTCGCCGCCACCCTCCGCGCCGCGCCGCCGGCATCGCACAACGACACGTGCGCCCTGCACGCGCAGACGAGGCACGTGGCCGTCGCCGACGGCGGGCCCAACGCCGGGACGCGGTCTCGTTTCCCCGCCGGCGCGTGCGCGTGCGCGGGCGCGGGTGCAGGTGCAGATGCGGGTGCGTCGCCGCCGGGGAAGAACCTGCTGCTCGTGTCGGGGCCCGACGGCTTCGTCGCGGCGTTGGCGGGCGCCAAGCCGTGGAGGGGCGGCGGACAGGTGCAGGGGCGTGTCGGCGGGGTGCTGGGCGAGCTGGAGAGGAGGGAGGGGGGGTTGCTGCGGGATTGGCTCGTGTTGAAGCTTTGAGGGGATGTCCTGCCGTGTAACGTCTAGGAAACCTTGTGTACCGTAAAAGAGCCGTGTGGCTGATTTACATGATGGAGGCTACACAGCTTATAGCATACAGCGGGTTGAGATGACCATGGGATAGGTGGACAAGCACGGCGAAGAGCAGACGCAAGTCCACCAGAAAGACAATGCTCATCAGTAACATTCATTGACCATGCGAACGCCGTATAGCTGATGCAACGCGGCCTTGACCGACTCTAGTATTCATCCCGCCGTAACGCCTGACCCGAAGAACAGCCTTCTTTTCCCCCCTCCTCATCATGTGCTCTGTACCTTCCTGTACGACGGCGGCTTCAGCGCGCGCCCGATCAACTTGGCCGCGTAGGGAGGGATGAGCGATATGGCCCCGATGGCGAGGACGCGCCAGTAAAACCCACTGCGACTGTCAGCGATCATGCCTGGGGAGAAACTCGGACGAGGGATCCGACTTACAGCGTGAGCAGGAATTCCAGCTCAAAGTAGTCGCCCAGGAACGGGATCGACGCGGCAAACATCATGAATGTCCCGACAATCGACACAATCATGACGGGGTGCCACGTCGTGATCTCCATGGCCACCATGAGCAGCTCGTTGAGCACCAGCACCGTGTACGAGACGGCGACCATCCTCGGCCCGTGGACCTCGGTGAGGATTTGCGAAAGACCCTGAATGACACAGCCTTGGTACACCGATACGAGGACCCAGATGAGGAACGTGCGGTACGAGAGGGAGCGGCCCGAGGTCAGCTCCTTGTAGAGCTCTGGGTAGAGGTTGGCTAGGTTCTCGTCCACGTCCTTGTCCAGCACCAGCGACAACACGGGGAACGCCGTGTACACTGTGGCGTACCCCACGAGAAGCCAATCCTAGTCTTCGTCAGCTCGCACAAACCTTGCCCAAGCAACGCCTACGCCGACATACCTTGTAGAGACCTTGTGGCTCAAACTTGATCGCGATGCTGTACATGGTCTGGCACACCGCAATGATGAGGCCGCGGTGGATGACGAACTGCGCCAGCTTTGCACTCCGCTTGTAGCTGTTCCGGCCGTGCCAGACAAGCAGCTTGGTGAGGTAGTGGAACTGCTCAATGGAAAAGTCGGCCGCCAGGCTCGCCTGTCGGCCCTCCTTGCCGACGATGCCGACACCCACGTCGGCCGCCTGAATCATGGAGACGTCGTTGCCGCCGTCTCCGATGCAGCAGACGCGCTTCTTGGTGTACTCCTTGATGAGCGTCGCAACCTCGGCCTTTTGCGTCGGAGAGCATCGACACGCCACGACGGTCGGGAGCTGGACCGCCACCGAGATGAACTCGATGCGGAAATGCGTCAGGAACAGCAGCAGACTCTCGCCGTCGACCAACAGACACGCGTCCGTCTTGCTGCGAAGGAAATCCAAATGGTCCTGTGCGTTGTCCTTCCTCTTGAGCTTGGACACGGTGTAAATGTACTGACCCCTGGCCACGAGGCGCGAGCTGACGGCCACACAGCGTGCCGTCTCCACCTTGTCACCTGTGAGCATCCAAATCTTGACGCCCGCGTTTCGGAGCAGCTCGAGAGACGGCTTGACATCCTTCTGCAGCTTGTCCTCGACACCGGTGACGCCGAGCAAATCGAGATCCCGCTCGAGGTACTGCGACACAACCTTCTGCATGTTGGCGTCACGGCCCGTGATGGCGAGCGCGGCTTCCTGGTGGCTTCTTGAAAACTCTCTGTACTGCTCATAAGACAGGCGTCGCCGGCCAACAACCAGCGTACGTAGGCCTTCGCGGGCCATGTTGGCCGTCTCTTCGTCGAGCCAGTCATTCTCCGCCACAATGGACGTCATGACGGTATCGGCGCCCTTTTGGTAGAACCAAATCTCTCCGCTGCTCAAGTCGGGAGGGCTCGACTGTTTCGTCTCGTAAAATTGTACGATGATACCCATCCGCTTGCCCTCGGAGGTAAAGGGGAACACGTCTAGGATGCGCACCTGGACCGTGGGGCGTCCTGTTTCTGCGTACTCCAGGATCATACCGGTGCGATCGCGGTGGACAAGACGAAGTCCCACTGACTCTGTCCAGCGCACAATGGCAATCTCGTCGGGCGAAGAGGCCTGGTACGATGTGATTGTCTTGCCATCTTCCTCCTCCGTTGTGGGGGTGACGTTGTGGCAGAGCGCCAGCGCGAGCACGACATCCCTCACACGAGAACCAATCTCTCGACGTGTACGGGTGGTGCCCACGCTGGCGGTACTCGCAAAAGTTGACGAAGGGGTGATGAGCATCTTCTGAGAGGCTGGATCCACTGTCGATTGGATGTGGAAACCTTGCTTGACGTAGGCAACAACTTCGTCCATGGCTTCGTTGGCGTACGACACGGTACCGACGTGGATTTTCTTCATCTCCATCTCATTCTGCGTCAGCGTGCCCGTCTTGTCGCTGAGCAGATACTCAATGCGACCCAAATCTTCTGGAATCGTGCTGGTGCGCACCACTGTCCCCGGTATGCCGGAATCGCGATGGATGAACCAGGAGTACGCACTCTTGCCCATGTCGAGGTTGACGCGCAAGCTGATGGGCACGATGGTCGAGAAGAGAACCAGGTACCTCATGATCTTGATGTACCAACGGTTTTCTTCGGTATTCTCGAAACCCAAAAGAGCAACCAGAATCACCGACAGCGCCAGGGTGAGGGCGCACAGAATCTTGGTCAACGAGTTGATTTCATTCTCAAGCAGTCCTGTCTTGGACCTTGAAGGTGCCGTCGAGAGAGCCGACCTTGTCTGCGTGCCCGTATACATGATGACGGCCAGGGTTGTTGCCTGGGACGCAATCACTGTGTTGGCCCAAGCTGTATTGTCGATAGACAAGGGTGCCGTGGTACCCACGTCCGCGCCAAAGCCAGGGTCGGCAGAAGTGTTCTGCGCGTCCTCCCTCGTCGGCAACAGCTCGAGCGCACCCATAAATTCGTTGACCTTGCGATCAGGCTTACCACCAGTCACTCGCAGTCGAACTAGCTCCTCAGTCGGGAGGTTTTGGGTCAAAGGGGAAGACAGGCGCAGCTTCCAATCTGTCTCTCCGTCCAACTGATCTGTCCGGATGAAGGTTTCGCCGTTGGAGCCGCTGGCATCTTCGGCCTTGTTCTCCACGTCTTTGCCTTTGCTAGGCGTTGCTGGTGCGGCATCGTCAAAGGCATCCACCAGCAGCGATTCTTCCTCTACGGGGGCCTCCTCTTCCTCGACCTGGGCGGACTCTGCTGTGATACATTTGAGAATGACAACGTCGGCGGGAACCCGCTGTCCCTTGCTCAGCTTCAAGACATCACCGACCTTGAGATCGCGTGATTTACAGGGCATTTCGTACACTGATGACGTCGGACCCGTACGTGGGCCATCGCCCTCCATGCGCTCTTCCTCTTCACGGATGTCTGAGAGCCTGTCGGCCGTCTTGACCAGCTTCTTCCCCCGCCTCTTGGTCGACTCTGACTTGAGCCTCTTGTGAGGGCGCAGCCCGGGAGCCAAGGCCCGGCCCGGCTCGTCAAAGCGAAGGACAGTGTATGCCTCGGCGTTGGCCTCATTGTCTCGCCGCCTGCGTTCGATGTCGTCGTACGCCTCCTTTCCCATGGTGATCATCAGAACAAAGGCTAGGGGCGCAACGTAGGTTGTCAGGTAGCCGATACGCAGCGCCGGAATGGCCTGGGACAGGGCCACCAGCAAGAAGTACATGTTGAAGAAGAAGGAGAATTCGTTGTACAGCGTGACGGGGAGAAACGAGAGGGCGGTGTATTTGGCGTTTGATATCAGATTTGGCGGGAACTTGGTCGATTGTAAAGACCCCACGGCAATGTGTCGCGCGGCGGAAGGGTCATCCTCCTCCTCCTCTGCTTCTCCAGAATCGTCCTTGACTGAACCAGGGGCTCCACTGCCGCCCATGAAGCTCCCAAGTTTCAGGCTGGAGCCGAGGGCAGCCAGGCGTCCCAGGCCTTCTTGCGCCGAGGAGCGACGTCGAGATCGCGGCTGGGACCGTCCCGACAGCAGAGGCGCATCATCACCGGAGGCTCGACTGCCATCGGCGGACTGCGAAGTGGACCGCCTGTGGCCACCACCCAGCAGAGACTGGGAATCGTCGGCGGCGCCATCTCTGTCCTGGCCGAGCTCGCCGTACCCCCTACTCCTGTTCCCACGTCGCAGGCCACCCATGCGGAGGTTGCGGAGGGCTATCCTCGGTGAACGCGATTCTCCCGTGTCGCGGGCGTGTCTGGCTTGGGCGGAGCCGCGTTGGGACGTGGTGGCAGGGTCGAGCTCCTGAATGTCGAGGTCGAGGTCTGAATCGGAATCATTCGGCGAATCTGGCGGCTCCGCAGGACGATATGAAGAGTTGGGAGGCATGCCGCGGCCGGTCTTGGGGCTTGGGGGGGCCTCTACAGCTTAGGAGAGCTGACGAGAGGTGATGATGATTCGGCTCGATCGGGGCGTTAGACGCTGACAGGACAGCTGCATCTGGAGCCGAAGCTTGGGGCGGCGTCCAAAGTTGCCGGTAGTTGAATGAATCGAGGGTTAGGGTGAGTTGGCCGCAGTTGCAAAGCTCAAGGCCAGACTCGTGCTGGAAAGTAGAAAAGTGGCTGAGGCAATAGATACATCAAGAAAAGGGCGACGCTTGTTCGGACAGGTATACTGAATGCATCCGACAGGGCAGAAACTAAGCTGCCCAGGAGGTATGATGCCGACGTAGATGGGTGGATGGGTGGATGGACCGGGATGCAGGGGAAGCAAATCAATCGCGACTGACGCTGCACTGGCAAGGCTGGGTTTGCGGTACGTACTGACTACGAGGCCTGGTGGACACTCGGTCTGTGGCACTGTGGCGCCTGTAGCACCTACCTGGCAGCCTGGTCCCTAGGAAAGCTAAGGCATCTTACCTTTGGTAGGCAGGTAGATAGGTACCTTAGGTAGGTGACTAGGTGGGCTCATCAAGCTGTGACGTTCAGGGACCAGCCGCGTGGCCA